TTTTTTTTTTTCTTTTTGAGGGCTATTGCATGGCATGGTGAATATAGTGCATAATAGTGTACTGTACATTTTGAAATCATTAAAAGTAAATTTCAGATGTTCTTGCCATGAAAGATGATAAGTATTTGAGATAATGAATATGTAAATTAGCTTGATTTAATTATTCCACATCGTATTCATAAATCATAACATAATTTGCCAATTTACAATAAACTTTTTTTTAAAAAAAGAAGTATATGGTCTCTGACCTCAAGGAACTTAAAATCTAGTGAAAGTGATAATCATTAAATTATTCAGTCAACTACCATTTATTAGCTACTTACTCTGCACCAAGCATTGGGCTAGACGTTGGTACTTCTAATATCTTAGATAGGTGAGTTTCTTTAACAACTGCAGATTTATCACCTTTTAAGAACACAGTTTCCCAGGTTTGAGGCAGAATATTCAAGATGAGGCTGGATCAGCTTGTCAACCAAAAGCAAGGAAATGTTAAAGCAAATAAGGAGATCATTAGGCTGAGGTTGTCTCCTGTGTCTAGAGCTCTTATGTAAACAGACCAAAACTTAACTAGGAGGCATTTCTTGTAAATGACAAAACCAAAATAAAACAAAACAGGCTCAGTCGATCACAGTCAACCAGCCAATTGGTTGTGTAACTAGGGTCTTCCCATTACACCATACCCACATAAGACAAATGCCTAATTGTAGCCAATTAGGCAATTTCTGTTCTTTGCTTCTGTAGTCAGCCTATAAAAGCTTGCTGCTCACACAGCTAGTAGAGTGAAGCTCTCTGAACCTCTTCCAGTTTTGAGTGCTGCCCGTTTCATGAAGTGTTCTTTGCTCAAAGAAACTCTGTCAAATTTATTCTGTCTGAAGTTTTTCTTTTAACAGTTGCTATAAGCTCTCTAAGACTGCTGTGGTCAGGAGAACACAGGAATCAATAGAAAACCCTCCCACAGGCCAAAGATGGGCAACTTGAGCATAAATAATAACTGCAATGAATGGAAACATACAAATATGTTTAAATCCACTGGTTCATAATGGTACTTGAAAAACTAATACCAACTTTCAGAGGAACCAACTCATTATTTTGAAAACTGGTAAACAAAAGTAAAGAATCAAGCAATTTTTTTTCTGTCTTTCCTATGTGAACTGAACCACTGAGCAGCCCAACAGTAGGTGAGTTTCTTTTTATAGAAATATCTCAATAAATGGCTGGGTGTGGTGGCTCACTCCTGTAATCCCAGCACTTTGGGAGGACGAGGTGGGCGGATCACAAGGTCGAGAGTTCAAGATCAGCCTGGCCAACATGGTGAAACCCCTGGCCAACATAGTGAAACCCTATCTCTAAGAAAACAAAAATTAACTGGGCGTGGTGGTGCGTGCCTGTAATCCCTGCTACTCGGGAGGCTGAGGTAGGAGAATCACTTGAACCTAGGAGGTGGAGGTTGCAGTAAGCCAAGATAGCGCCACTGTACTCCAGCCTGGGTGACACAGCAAGTATGCATCGGAAAAAAAAAAAAAAAAGAAAACAAATATTTCAATAAATGAAGAAGGAATGATAGAATTAGAATATCACCATATGCAACATGCAAGTAAAAATTTAAGTTTGCGACAGTGGTGAGTCACATTCATTAAAGAAGAGTGAGTTGCAGATATTCATAAACAGAAAAGTCTTTGTTTATTTGTTTTTGATTTTTTGTTTTTGTTTTTGTTTTTGTTTCGAGACAGGGTCTTGCTCTGTCACCCAGGCTGGAGTGCAGTGGCAAGATCTTGGCTTACTGAAACCCCAACCTCCTGGGCTCAAATGATCCTCCCACCACCGTGTGCCACCATGCTTGGCTAATTTTTAAAGCTTTTTTTTTTTTTTTT